CTTCTATTGCACATTATTTGCATTTTTCAAACCATCATGTTCAATGATCTAACAAATACACATTTGTTACAGCATGTGTTGTGTAAATATCTTAAGATTATACAGTAAATCAATACCTTTTGCTTCATTATTGTGAAGGACACAAACCACTCAGTTGATTGCTGAGATAAATTTGCTTTGCGGCCACAAGAGGGCGGACAAGACATGTTTCTTTCTTTCACTGGGTTTAACGCCACTGCATTTCACCAGAGGGATTTTCACAAGCGCTTCAATTATGTAATAGCAAAGTAGTTATAAAAGTTAGATATAAATCATGAACCGAAAAAGAAAATGCATTTATATTCAAGGTTATATTTCAGTGCAGCAGACTGTAAGCAGTGATGGTTGCGCAGTCTGATAATGTAGAAGGAATAACCAACAGTAATGTTGTGTGTTCTGTGTGTTTAGGATGCAGCAGCTGCACTGAAGGAGCTCTCCAGCTCTGTGGTGACGAGGTGAATGGAAACATTGTCCAAGAGTAATGTCATTTTTGGCAAGAACATCAACAACCAACTCACAACAACATTCTAGCATATTTATAACAAAAATCAAAGAAAACAAAGCCATGATTGTTGCTCTAATTAACTCTAATTGTTCTCAATTAGAGTTAGTTCTGAACTTTGAATGAGCCATTCTCACATATGATATGTGTTGACCTGTAGCGTTTCATTATAACTCTGCTGTCACAGGAAGGTAAATGTTACATTTTGGTTGTATGTCCAGAGCAGCTTTACTGTGTCTTTTTTATAGCCTTGTGGTAAAATCAATACTTTTATAGCTTATTTGTAAAAATGACTTTCCAAATTAATGGAGTGTTTAATTTTTAGTCTTCTTGACAATAATCTTACACCTGAGCTGCGGATCCCTGCATCTTCTCCAGAGTCACCATGAGCTGGTCATCTGCTCGCTCTCCCCGCCTGGCCTGTCAGTTTAGCTGGGCAGACATGATTTAGAAAATTAACAGTTAGTATGGAAGCACTTTCCATTTCCCGGTGATGGACTGGGCTGACCTCTGTAAGATGTCCAAAGCTTAAAATATGTGGGTTTATAGTCCGAATTCCTGCTTTACATTTCTTCACAACTTTCTTCTTGACTTGTCTGCTGTTTGTTCATTTACAGAACATCTGTATTGCACTGAGAAACTGTATTTGCTGAGGTTCAAAGCACTGCATCTTCGGCACAAGAATGATCGTAAAAGATTCATATATTTGTTTGAATAAAAGAATATAAACATCTTCCTCTAATTAGTCGCTGCTCCCTGTCTATTTTTACCAGCAAACTATTCTTCAAGGGAATTAAACTCGCTCAGGTTAATATCTTCCTGCATCTACATGAGTCAGATCAGAGGGCAGCCCCCCTGCTGTTCCCTTACAGCTCCCTCACTAAGACTTCTTTTGTCTTGAGGTTCTGAGGCGTTTTCTCTGCACCTATGACTAACTTCAGCCATGTTTTGTCTCCTGTGTTGCCTCTGACGAGTTTTGGCAACGTGCTGTTGTTTCTTTTCAACATTGCCCTTGCTACGGCGATCATCAACCTGAACGTGTCTGTGTTCCTCTCCATTCTTCTAAGCAGGTCGCTGCGCAGCGAGAACCGCTTCATGTTCATGCTGAGCACCTGCCTCAGCGACATCTGCACCGGCGTCTCGTTTTATCACGCAGGCGTGCTCGACGTGAAAGACCATTACCAGTCCCCAACCCGCACGTTTTACATCGTGCCCACGTTTCTTGGCCTCTCCTTCATGGCTATCCTGGCCGCGCAGGCGGACCGGTACCATGCCGTTATATCTCCTTTCAAATATTCCCAGCGCATGACCAGGAACAGAACCCTGTTAGTTATCTCCGTCTACTGGTTCTATGCGTTCTTAATCGTGGCTGTGCAGAACCTGGTCCCAATAGGGACAGCTTCTAAGATCACCAGCATCGGTACATTTATTGGGAACATTTTCAGTGTGGTTATAATGATAGGTCTGAACATCAGGCTGTTTCTCATCGCCACCTTCCAGCTGGGCAGGGAGCCTCCCTCTGAGGAGAGAGACAACAAGCGCTCCTCGGTGTATCTCATTCTGGTGGTGGCTGTGTTTTTCCTGGCGGCCTGGATCCCCTTGTTCTGTCACATTATCGCCTGTAATTTCGTTGGCACCACCTGCTACACCTTTAGGAATGAAGGCACCGATCCTCTTCGCATTTTGCCCAGGGTCAACGCTGCTCTGACCCCTGTTCTGTACTTGAGAGGGTGCAAAGCTCTGAGAGTGGCGCTGTTCTCCACTGTGTGGAGACCCTGTTATAAAAACAGGTGAGGTGCTGATTGTGTTTTTATAAATTTTAGGCCATTTAGAAACATATTTTATCACACGTTTAAACTGCACCTATCAAATTTACTGTTTTGTGTACATCTAAAGTACTTCTAGGATATAAATCTAAATTATAAATGAATACAATACGACACAAATGAGGATAGGTGAGTAAAATACAAAGTGAATTCCAATCAGAGTTGCACTGAAAGCCTTCTTAATGTCACAGTTCAGAATCCTTTGCTTTTACAATGACAGCTGTGTGTTATGTTGTGGAATGGCCTGCTGACCCAAACTCTTTTGCTCTCTCTGTTAAGGCTACTTCACCGACAGCTTGGCCCCTCTAAGCATCCAGACCCGACTTAGTTGAGAGGTTGTAGGATTTTTAGGTCAGCATTCTTTGCAAACTCTGTTTTTTTTTTTCTTGTGTACTTTTTGTTGGAAGTTGTTTGACATTTCAACTGGTCTTGATGGGTTGTTTTATTCAATGTCCAATAGAGATTATTACTGAGCAGTGATCACATTGCATTTATATTAAGTTGTGTAGTTCATACAGAAGTGTAATAAAATAATAATCTCAAGAAGATGTGATTTCCTTTTTAAGACAATGATGTTAGCTGTGCCTTTTAAAGCTTTTTAAAGCAATTTGTTTCTGTGTATTTCAAAATCCCTTAGTTGTCCAAATAAAATAATGTATGCTTGAGCAGCTGTGGGACCTAACTTGCTAAATAAATTGAACTGTAGCTATATTTAAAGTCCATCCAGTCACAACATACAACTACTTTTGCATTTATTCTTTACTTAATTTTGATCTTGATTTGAGAAAGCATTCTTCTGACATAATCTGTAAGACTTTCTCTTTCTCTGCTGCTGTTTGTGGTGAATTTGTTCATGTCACATTGTGTCTTCAATGAAATGTAATGACGCATAATATAGCTTCACATTTTATTCGACTCTTCTTTTCACAACAGAGATTATGTTGAATTTTAAATGCGGATTTGTGTAATTTATTTGTTAAAAAAAACATTGCTTTACTTTTTGTTTTAAAAGTCACTCAAAGTATAGAGTTAAATTCTGTAAAAGTAACTTTACTCTGTATATATTTATATAAAACACATTAAAAATCCTCATCCAGACTTTTTTTGTATGATTCCCACACAAATATATAATCATCCGTGTTATCTTTCCTGCAAATTCTTTTAATTTCAACATAAAATACTAGAAGTGTTGCATCAAAAGATCGCTATCATCAAACACCAATTTAGTTTCTCTGTCGTTATTTAATATCATGCAAAGTTTTTCTCCTTTATTTCTAACCTGAAATCAAATCTGTAGCATCTGTAAAAGGTTTCCATGTCATTTAGGTTCTGTTACTGAAATCATGTGTAACTGTGCAGTTGTTTTTTTATGGTCTGGTTCTGCAATAGTTATTTGTAAGTAAGATCTGTGCTTCTTGGCCAGTGGATTAAAAAATATCCCATAATATTTCCAAACGACATTAAGTAATTAAGACTTTTAAATAAGAATATGTTCTTAGAGAAGATATATATTTATCTTGAAATGTCGTCACGTACAATTGAAACAGTCTGATGCAATTTTGTTATTTTTTCAGCTTTTTCAACAGTGTATTGACCCTGCAGAAAGATGCATTATGGAGGGTACTGCACAGACGTAATTTGAAACCTGACCACACGGGGTCACCAGAGAGCTTTGGCACGCAGCCATAATATTCAAAACGATGTCAAAAGCTGATTTAATATATTATATTCATTTTTATAAAATAAAGTCACCATTTCTTCTTTTGAACAATTCAGAAAGTGATGAAGTGCCTTTTGTTTCCGAAATTTGAATCACTAACACAGACCTTAAAAGACTGGGTGGGACTGAAACCCATTAAGGCTTCTTCCAGGTTTCAATAGGCTGGAGGAGGGTCGCTGTTGTGGGAGGAGGAGCCTGAACAACGTCACACTTCCGCACATCTGGTGCCCAGTCTTTGAACACCATTATTCGTATGATTCATTTCTTTTATAATTATTTGAAAGGGGGTAAAGGACAGATAAACATTATTCTATACACTGTAACAGAGGTTGGTAGATTTATGCAATAACAGGTTACCACTAATAAAAGAGCTATCATCAGGCAAGCTGCTTCAGTGTGTGTATTGAAAGGGGGATTTTATGATATTCAAACATCCACTAGTGAGATTTGTGTAATTAAACTCCAGCAACAGACATTTTGCTGGAGTTTGTGGTTTTGCCACAAATGTGGCAAAACCACAAATGATTTTGCAACATTTGTCAAACTGGGATCAAAACTGTCCTATTGCTCTAACAGACAATCTTTGTTATTTTTCTGTGCCTCCGTTACAGAACCACTGTATTTCACCACCAAGTTATCATGTCTGGGATATGTGTTTGTGTTATTCTGCAGCACAATATAAGTTGCGTCCTTGGAATAAAAAGCCCGCCCTGAAAAAAAAACCTTTCTCTTTCTCTCTTTTTTTTTGTATTTATTTTTTTTTTCTCTTATCCTGCCGTGTTGCAGGTAAAGTTGCCAGGGGTCTGGGTCTGAGAAAGTGGTCGAACCCTCCCACAGTGGGGTGTGTGTGTTTTCTGCTGCGCTCTGGGCTGGTTTCTATTCAAATGTGGGTCAGGGGTGAGGAAGCCTAACGTCATAAGCTTGCAACATGGCGTCCCGAAGGCTGTGAGATGAGCAGGAGGATGGTAAAGAACGCCTGAGAACGGTCCTACCGATGTAAAAAGGTATTTTCAACGCGTTATTTCTCTTCACGGTGGCTTGGGAGTGGACAAACGGAGCTGCTTTGGTGTCTTTATGTTTGGTTCGGCTGCAGGAATCGTAAGGGTATTTTTTTCCCCTCTTCTACGGCGTGCCAACAAAAAAAGAGGGCTCTGCTGCTGGTGGCTGTACATGCTCTACCAGGCTGCTTGGCAGAGCTGTAAACACACCGCGGGTTTGCAAAAACGCGCATCTTGAGTTTTTGGTGCTTAATCGCAGAGCGCGTTGTTTGCAAATATCGTGGGGTTTATTTTCTCGTCGCAAGACTCCCACGAGAGATGCCCCACACACAGGACGGACGGCTGTGCATACCAGATAATTACCGGGGCTGGTTGGCAGAGCGCATCAGCGACGAAAGAAATGATCTCCCTTAGAAACACTGAGATGTTTTCTCCAAGGGTCTTTTCTCCCCCTCTCAGGTTAATGGTCTAAAACGCTCGGAGAAATCTTCTGAATGAAAATGTGATCAATGAAATTACTTGTTTTGGTCGATTCTCGTCATTTAAAAGCCCACAGGACCATTTCCCAAATGGAATTTAAAAGTCCCTCGCTTTGAATTTTACGCACTGCTTTTGGCACAATCACAGACTAATCGTATATGTTGGTGTAAACTGCATTGTTTATATGTAGGTTAAGCTTCCTTCATCTTAGGTAGGGCCAATTAAAATGATTTAACAGGATTTTGTGCGTAGACGATCAACACAATATATAATCTATAGCACATGAAATGTTATTTTCAGGAGCCTTCTCGTTAGACCGATGTGATTTCTAGATTGCATTGTATAGCGTGTTTTTTTTTTCACGGGGCATGCTGTGGGTGTAGCGTTACACTGACCTACAAACTGCAGTGTTTTATGGAAACAGTGGCGCATGACTTGAATTTCCGCGTGCAAACAAATTTCTTTGGCCCAAATCTGATCATTATGTGGTACGTTTGATGCGCTCTTATTTTTAACTTCCAGACTGGGCCATGCGCATTCCAACAATGCATGTGCTCAGGTGTGAAGTGAAGGCAGCTTTGCTCCCAAGGTGATCAGTGTTGTTTAAGTACCAAGGGGCATGGCGATAATAAGGCACAGGAATGTCAGTAATGCGTGTTTGTCTTGAGTGGCTGCTGTTTTTCTGTCTTAGTGTTTTAAAATTTTCCATCTTGCTTCACTTTTTGCTATTGAGTGGTATGCTTGCATATGATTTAACGTGGTGAGCTGAAGTGTAAATATTAGGTAGAGTGTAGAAGTTTTCACTTGTCTGAAGACAGGTTTGTCTGTAAAATGACAGTTGAAATAATATTACTTACTCATTGTTATGTGTTTACCCCACTTGTGTGTGGAAAGTGTTAGTTTTTTGAGTAATGTAAAGATAAGAGTCTGGTAATAGTTTTGGGCATTGCAGTTCTAATATCATTACCATGTATGTAATTAGATTATTTTATTTTATTTTATTTTTTTTTTGACGTAGACTTAAACCAAATTATGTAATAAACGCAGTCGATGTTTATTAGTAGATTTTGCGTGATGTTTTTGTTGTTTTGTTTACAGTGAAGCACTGGGAGTGTAACTATTTGATTTTAGCCAGTTAATTATTCATATATCTGCTTCAGTTGAATCTCTTAAGAGACATGATACTCAAGGCTTGCCATCCAGATGTTGTTTTGTTTCTGTTACTTCATTAAGAGTGATTGGTGGCTATGCTTCGCTCGTTTCCCACAACATAATAACTTTTTCTGCCACTGGTAATATTAGAAATGTGTTTTCATTGTTGATGCAGAAAATAATGCTGACCTTTTCTGTCAGCTGATGGGCAGTGTGCAGCAATACACGGGGGAGGGGCAGCTCCAATCATCTGGGGAAAAAAAAACTCAAATCACTCCAGCACTTTCTGTGGCCTGTCAATAAAAAGATGGTATAAATGTCTTAATGAAAATTTGGACCTTTTGAACCGTTCCAGTCATTCCGACTTTCTCTTATACAGTTAATTAAAAGAATGTCAAAGCTTTAAGATCGGTGTGATTAAAAGTGTATCAGTTTTGAAGTCATGACCTTTGGTAATCTTTGTATTCCTTGACACCAGAAACCAGCCCAGGCCTATTTTCAGCAACCTTTTATCCCTTTTGTTTTCCCCGGGTGCTTGAACCTATAATATGAAGATCCCTATATATTATTTTGGCCGGTTACACCCAGCCAGAGCTGAAGTTCAAATGTTCAGTTGTTTGTCCCGTTAGACTTGTTTATGTTTTTAAACATCAAGGGTTATTAACACATTTTGACAATGGTGAAAATGTAGAAGCCTCTTTGGATCATACAGGGATAAAATGATGCATATATTGTAAAGGCTATAAGCACTAAGCAGTCATCTTCACTGTAATTTCATTGCCCAGCTGTTTTACCACCCATTGCAGTTGCAGTCAGGTAATTATGCGACCTTACAGTGACCTTACAATTAATTCAGACCATTAAAATGACCAAGTCAACTGATCAGTGTGACAAGTTTCATTGATTACTGTATGGGCAACAAATTCTGGCCTGCAGGGTAATGTAAGGCCTGTGTTTGTGTGCCTCATCTGATTCTCTTGATCAGCCGGTTGCCTCACCCTTCTTGTCCCTTCCCCTCCTCAACATGCACTCAGCATCCTGTGTGCAATGCAATCATGGCTTACAGTGGCATGTGTGGGCAGTAAGAAGGCTACTTAGGCTATATGTTCTGCTGACATGTTGGAGGAGGACTTATAGATTGTAGCTGCTCTGCTCTGTGCAGCCTGTTCATAGGCAGTTTGGTTTGTTCAGTGGATAAAACACCTCGGGGCAAGGTTGTTGTTCTTCTTGAAGAATGTGGAATGTATTACTGATAGCCAGAAGGTTATGTGCAGTTTAAAAGTTGGTGGGAGAAGGGGGAGGGCGGTATTTTGTGAAATATTCTCTCCAGCCCGCCTGCTGCTTCTTAGTCCAACCAGAAGGCATCGGGTCGTGTGGGTTTGTTGCTTCTTTTTACAAACCAGGGTGAAGTGGAGAGGTCTTATCTCATCAAGTTTATTGTGTCAAAACAGAGAACCCTTCATCACTTAATCATATCTTCAGTTCTCAGTGAGGTAGTTGATCACCTCACTTCTGTGTGAGAGCACACAGTCATGTATTATGTGTGTTACAGCAGGCTGCCACACAGTTCAATGAAGGTGTAAATAGTATCGTTTCGGTCTTTATTTAATTTCTCCAGGGTCACTTTGGGTGAGCCACGAAATGCAAAAGCGCCACTGATGACGCAGAACAGAGTCGTGCATAAAACAAATCACAAACTGGAGGTTGTTTTTCTCAAAGGGACTGCAGAAAAAAATAAATAAATTCAGTGTTCATTTTAAATCAAGCGAGCTTCTTGCAGATCTAAGCTCTGTCTCAGACCAACTTTTAACTTCTCTCACCTTATTCCAAGAATAAAATCATGTATGGGTTTCTTTATAACATAGAAGGAGATGGGAACATCATTCAAAATGCATTTCGAATAATCATTCATTATTTATAATAGGAGCAGAGGCAACGTCACACCACTGTGTGAGAGCAGGCACCATAAAACAAGGTTTTACTGTTATTGTAAAAAAAACAAAATTATAGCTTAAATATATTATTGTCTTTATCACCTTCTAGTAGCAGTAGCAGAGCTAACATGACTAAACCTCTATATTCCTTAGAGAAGTTAGATCATTACTTTATCGGCGAGATTTCTAAAAAGACTCATTTTCAATATTTTCAAATTCCAGGATGTCCTTTTAGTGGATGGAAGCTCAGATGAAAAACAGAATCATTTTCTTCATTCATCCTGCTTATCTGCTTGAAATCTTGCTTTCTAACTCTCTCTATCTCTCCCATGGTATGAATAAAATGCAGACGTTTAAATTTTTTTTTTTTAATTGCTTCTGATATGCTGCTGACTCCATTTTCAACCACGTCGGTGATGGTGCTCTTTACTCAGTCACTGCTTCTGTGCCAGAGAGTAGAGCTGTCTGTAGATGTGGTGCTATCACTGATTTTAAAATGATTAGATTTTCAAGTTCTGTCAACAGACCATTTAAGTGCTTATCGCTACTACATATAGGAAAGCACATAAAAAATAATTAACTTTATTTATAATTGTGTCTTGAAATGCCTCCTTCAACACTGTAGGAAGTGAGGAGCCATGATCTGACACTGTAGCCCGGTGATGCTGTTTTACCTTTCTTGTTCTATCTTCTTTTCATCATACAAATATTTGTTGATGCACCTTGTTTTTGAGCATAATTTCTGCGTTAACTTGTAAAGGCTTAGATTCCCTGCATTAATAATTCAGAAATACTAGTTATGTTTCCATTTATTTTCAGTTGCAGGTCTTTTGCTTGAATACATGCAGGATTTGTTGTCATCAATTAATATTGGTACATCATCAAATTCTAATGAATATTAAAAATATGAAATTTGAACATTTTCATTAATTGGATATTTTAATCCTTTTATTTCTTCTTTATTTGCAATTAGGATTCTTTTTTTAATGTTCCCTATAGCAATGCTTAAACTAATAGATGTCTGTCAATTCTGTATTATTTGGAAACTGTGTTGCTTTAAGAATGTACAATCTTCCTAAACATGTGCTAGTTTTATAGCTGAGAAATTAGTTCTTTATGTTTTACCACATAGTGGTAGGAGAGAAATGGTGCATAATAACTCTTGTGCTTCCGTTACACTCTGTAAATTTAATTTAGCATGTTTGTTTTGTTTTAGTTTAGCTTTAGAACCTAGTGTCATACAGGTTGGTACCATGCACAGAGTAGCACTTGAGCGGTGCTCTGAGACCATGATCTCCTACTGTAAGGTAATTCCTGAAAGAAAAATGCATGTTGTTCGACTTCTATATTAGAAACCTCACAGCACTGGCACATTTGGGGTTCACTGCAACCTCTGCCCCTCCTTTTCCACTGCGCAGCACCCTGAGCAGGACCTGTTTG